ATGGGATTACAAGCACCATTGCTCAGGTAAAACTGATTAAATCCAGTATCAAATGGGAAAGTGAGTCACGTAGCAAGCGGGCATGAATATGGGACAGGGTCTTTTCCTGTTGGGGGTTGGGCTCGTGACTCACTTGGGTCTTTCCAGGTGATGGATATCTATTTAGAATATCAATCCCAGGTGCTACTCTTTTAGCATTTGTTTGGCCTTTAGGTCTGGCTCACAGCAGGAGCATCCACCCCTCCCACAGTTGCAAGGTAGCTTGTCTTTTGTGCTGTTTTAAGGGCCTGGCCCTGTCTGACTGCCTATTAATATTTTTATCTAATTTGGCTACCTATAACATTCCCCCCTCTGAAGAAGTAACCTGAACTGCCATTAGGGAAATATGGGTGATGACCGCTCTGGCTTCTTCACGCTGAAATGGGTCATAGTTGTTGACTGGCAGTCAGATATATATATTTTAGAGGTTTTATCTAAAGGCCCTCGAGAGATGACAGGCATTTTTCTCTTTGAGTCTCTGTCCAGTGATCTCTCTGGGGCCTCCAAAATGATACAGGGAGAAAAACTGATCTTGGGTGGGTGACCTCCGAAACATATAGGGAACCTCCAAATGACATAGGGAAAAACGATCTTCCGACCTGACCTGCACGAGTTCGTGTTCTCTAAAACTGAAGAATGAATTTTAGGAACAAACGGAGGTTATGAGCAGAATATATTTATTGAGAGAAAGAAAGCTCCTATCCAAGAGAAGGACAGGAGGGGGGCCCGAGCGGGTAGTTCCCCCAAAAATGTTTTATTTGTAGTTTATTTTATTTACATACCTAAAAGTGATATTGTGATGGGAGCTGAGAGAGATACAAACAATTTTATTTTATTTTATTTTTTGGCGGAACTGGGGATTGAACTCAGGCCCTTGCGCTTGCCAGAGAAGTGCTTATTCCACTGAGCCAGCTCCCCAGCCCCTACAAACAATTTTAGGGAATGAATATTTGTTCCAAGCAGGAGTCCTTGGACTTCCGTGGTTGTAATGTGGCTTGGGTCTTTGAGAAATCATGGTACCTACAGTTATGGTTTTTGGTGTATGTTGTAAGTCCTAATCAGCTTTCTTCATGGGTAGGACCTCCCGACGCACCCTCAGGGTTAGCGTACAATCTGAAATGTTGATTTAAATGCAAGGTAAGCGTATTTGTTAAACCAACTGGTGCTTGACTGGGACAGAACAGGCTGGAATTCTAGAGTTTTCAGTAACTGAAGTGACAGTCCTTCATTAGAGAAATAAGCAAAGGGCTTTCAGAGCCAAAGGCAAATTGCTGTGAGCAAGGGGAATTCTTCTGACAGTGTGTGCGGAAGCTTGAGCGGTCCCCAAGACCTTCTAGGAGGTGAAGACCCACTGGTCTTGGTGTCCTCCTTTTCTCTGTCACAGAGCGACATGAGGCCAGCTCTCCAAATACGTCAACCAAAACTGTGTATCACAGCAGCATGAATGGAGAAGCAGATAGTTAGGAGAACACAGCTGTCATCAAGATATGCATTAAAGAGATTTATAAAAATGTAAAGCGGTGACATTACTCTCACTAATATTTTTTTCAGAAAATGTACCTATTTTTCATAAACATGGTATTTATGTTACTGTGTAATGGGTTTATTATTTTATTTTATATTTTTTGGCTTTCACTATGTAGCGCAGGCTGGTTTTGAACTCCCAGTGATCCTCCTGCCTCAGCATCCTGAGTGCTGGGATCACAGGTGTGCACCACCACATCCAGCCTTGGATTTATTATTTTAAGTGAATGACTAGTATAGAATTTAAAATTTTCTCAACTTGAATTTCTTATATGGTCCATATTAGCAGGTAGTATTCATATACATATAATTTTGGGGTGGCCTCCATCACTTTTAAAAGTATAAAGGAATTCTGAGACCAAAAGCTTAGAGGACTATTGTCCTAGAGATTTGGCTTCTGGTTTGGAGTCTGGGACATTTACATTATCTGATCTCCGAAGATGCTCCAGTTCTGTTATAAAATGGTGTAGGATATGCATGGTTTAACCTATGCACATCTGCTTGTGTGCTTTACATTACATCTAGATGATTTATAAAGTAAAATACAACATAAATACTACGTAAATAGCTCTTATCTCTTGTTTGGTGGATAGAGACAGGAAGAATGACTGTTTTTATTTTATTTTATTTTATTTATTTATTTATTTTGTGGAACCGGGATTTGAACTCAGGCCCTTGTGCTTGCCAGGGAAGCGCTTATTCCACTGAGCCATCTCCTTGGCCCCAAGAATGACTGTTGATAATCAATACAGATTGTTTTCCTTCAATATTTTTGATCTTTGTGTGACTGAATTTATAGATAGGAACCTGTGGATGTAGAGGGCAGGGAGGTATAACTACAGGGCTCAAAATTCAAGCTAGATAATTTTCAAGGAAAGTGGGTAGGGATAAACTGCAAGGAGCCCTGGGACCCACAGTGGGAGAACTTTGGATTTCAGGAGGGGAAGGTGAAGGAAGCAGAAGCCAAGCCTCATGTCAGCTGTTTACTTTGTGTCCTCCTGACTTTGTGCAAAAGAGTGATGGGGTGAGCAAGCAAATTAATAATAAAGACAGCAGTCAGGGAAAGAGGGGCCAGTGGAGATGGGCTGGGTGGGAAGCCCTGCCACCCCACCAGTGGCTGTTTAGGTCTTGCTTCTGCACTGTTGCTGTTGTTTCTGATGTGCAGACTTGAAGATGCTGTAGAGCCTGGTTAAAATTTAAGAGAATATTGGTCAAGATGTATCAAAGATGGTGATCAACATTTACATTTGGTGGAGAAAGAAGATGATGGGTTGGGTTTTGAATATGATAAGCTTGGTGGAGATGTCCAATAGGCAGGTAGAAATAAGGGTCTACCTGGCTCAGGATAGCAAAAGTAATTCCCAGAATAGCAGAAGTAATTTTAGAGGATAAAATTAAAGCAGGAGGCATAGAAATACTTGACTACAAGGCGTATTACAAAGCAATAGTATACAAATGGTGTGGCACTGAAGCTACAACAGACATGTGGATCAGTGGAACAGAGCTGAGGATAAAGGAACCTCCCCAGACACGTTCAACTGTTTGATCTTTGTCAGAGAGATGAAAAGCATATGTCAGAGGAAAGATAGACTATTTATCAAGTGGTGCTGGGAAAACTGGTTAATTGTATGCAGAAGAATAAAATGGGACCCTTATCTCTCACCATATACTAAATTAAAATAAAATGGATGAAAAAACTAAACTTTAAAAAAGAAACATTAAACTTACTGGGAAACAAAATAGGTAAAACACTTGAAGACATAGATGTAGGAAAGGATTTTCAAAACCACCTGAATCACACAAGAAATAGTAGGAATCAGCACCTGGGATTATAACAGACTAAAAAACTTCTGTATAGCAAAATAATCAATCAGTAGAGTGAAGAGACAACCTATGGAATGAGAAAAAAATTTTTTTTGCCAGCTACTCCTCAGACAGGGGACTATAATCTAAAATATATACAAAAAATTAAAAAAAATTAAACCTCATAACACTAAAGACCCAGTCAAAAAATGGGTAAGAGAAATGAGCAGACATTTCACAGAGAAAGAAACACAAATGGTTAGCAAATATATTTTTAAAAAATTTCTGGCTATTAGGGAAATGCAAATTAAAACAACACCAAAAGTCCATCTTACTTTGGAAAGAATGGCAAATTGCTTTTCAGGCTTTGGGCTGAGATCAAATGTGGAAAGAATGGAAACCACTAGGACAAACAGTAACAAACACTGACAAGAACATGGTGAAAAAGGAACCTTCCTTCCTGTTGATGGGAAAGCAAACTAGTACACCATGGTGGAAACCTGTGTGGAGCTTTCTGAAAGAACAGAAATCCCATGTCACCCAGCCAACCCCTGCTGGGTGTCTTCCCCAAAGAGCTAAAATCAGCCCACTATAGCAATTCAAGCATACCAATGTTTAGAGAGGCACAACTTTTAATAGCTAAATCCTGAAAGCAGCCCGTATACTCATCAGCAGACAACTCGATAAAAAAACTGTGGTATCTATGTATAATGGACTATGACTTGGCTATGAAGAAAGACACATTTATAAGAAAGTGGATATTTGTACTAATAGTGTTCAGACAAGATTTCATGTCTACATCTTGTCCTCTGAATACTACAAAGACAACAATATGCAATGTATTAATTCTTGTAACTGTCCTATTAATCTGTTTTGAAACTGTTTCGTTGCTGTTTTATCTTTTTTTTCTCACTAAAATGAGTAAAAAAAAAAAAAAGTGGATGCACCTGGAAAATATGTTGAGTGAAATAAACCAGACACACAAGATACCATGTGGTGTCTCATTTGAGTGAGGCAAAGACCAAACAAAGACAAGGATAAAGGCTAGGTAGATGGGCTGGGGAGATGGCTCAGTAGGATAAGCGCTTGACTGGCAAACGCAAGGATCTGAGTTCAATCTCCGGTTCCGCCAAAAAAAAGAAAAAGAGGCTAGGTAGAAAGGAACAAGGAAATGGGTCTCTTGTAATAGGGACATGGCTCAAGGGAACAAGGGTGAAGGGTGAGGAGGAGGGGAAGGGGAGAGGAGAGGAATAAAGACCTGCATTGATGGGAGCCTAATCATCCCGATTAATGTCAGCCCTATGTGCCCTAACATGGGCTGAGACAAATAATGTCAACAAGTATGCAAAAGGGGGTAGGAGAACCAGACGAAGGGGAGAGGGAAAAGGAAGAGGATTCAAAGAAAGAAACAAGCTCTAATATGTACATGTGACCACTCCCACAGTCACTGTAAACTGCAAGACTTACAAACATGTCCTAATAAAATAAAATAAATTTGAAAGAAAGAAGTAAAGGTTTGAACTTGGGACTTGATCATGGCTGTGCATGTTGCCTTGGGATCCGCATCCTACAGACATGCTTGAAGCTGTGGGCAGATGTGCAACTTCCTAATTGTGTCTATTTTGCTGTCTCAGGTCTTCCAGGTGGCCTATATTGTAATTATATTTGCAAATTCTCCTCGCCCAGGACTTTGGGCCTTGGAAAGGTCTGTAGACTTCGGAAGCACCTACTCTCCATGGCAATATTTTTCTTGTAAGTAATCTTGTCTGCCAGATTAAGACTATGGATTTGATAGAACATTAGTTTGTCAGTGTGTCAGTCTCCTCACCTCCTAAATTGTCCCCAGACCACTGCCATTTCTCAAGCATGTGTGTACCCATTCCTAGGAAACCACATGCAGAGCTGAGGGGGTAGCTCCTTTCAAAACAGTTTTTGCCATTATTTGGGGTATTTATTACTAGGCTGCCGTAATGAGCACTTTCATTTTTTATGTGGAATCTTCATGGACAATGGACTGTTCATTATCTGACCCTCTTCTACACTAATGAAGAATGTCAGTTTCCCTGGGCCCTGAGTCAATCAAGGGACTTGTGTGTCCCTTCTTGCAATAGGGACATGGCTTAAGGGAAGAAAATAATTTTACTTAAAAGAATATCGAATTTTTCTTGAAAACTCCTTGGAGGCTCAGTTTGCAAAGCAAGATAAGGTGTTAGTGCCACATCTCCAAAATTGCCCTTGAAGGACAAGGAGCTTTACATGGCTTGATGTTGTCTTTTGTGGACTAAACACGTACATACGTCTTTGTCTGAAAGTCTAAAAGACTTCTCTATCCTTTCTCTATTCATGTCTTTTCTTAAAGCTGCTTAAGAGGTTTACAAAAATGAATATATTTTATTTTTTAATACTGGAATATTTTCTTCCTAGTGTCTCCTGATGACTGCCTGACTGTGTTTGGGAAGCAGCCAAATCGAGCTATCATCAGGGACAATGATGTGCGCTGTGTTACACACTATTCCCGCCTCTTGCCTTTAGAAAATGGAGAGGTAAGTGGATCTGGGAGCTGTGAGAAGTGAGACTCAGAAAGGGCCAGAGGAATGCCAAATTGTTCATAGAAGTGCGCACGATCCTTTCAGGGAGACCTAGTATACTGTAGATGCACCGTGCTTGGGACTGAATGGGTCCCCCAGAGCCTCTATGTCCAGTGTTGTCCAGCAATTCACGAGCACTTTATGTTTTGCGTTGTTGAGACTTGGACTTGATTAGTTTAAGCTTTGAAATAAAACCTAGATTTTGGATAGGTATCAGGGTTATTTTGGTTAATTTTTCACCTTCATTTGAAGTTTTAGGTTGCTTCAGCTTTGCTTCTTGGTGCCTCTTGGCACAGTTGTTTCCTATTTATAGATTTTAACTTTATATCTCCAGTATTTCATAATGTAGCAGCCCACAAAATGTTGATAGAACAAAGGGTTATGCAATTTAAAGCAGCAGAGATACCATCTTACTCCAGAAGAATGGCTATCAGCAAGAAATCAAATAATGACCCATGCTGGCGAGGATGTGGGGGAAAAGGAGCTCTTCTGCACTGCTGGTGGGAATGGAAGCTAGTACAGCTGCTATGGGCGTCAGTGTGGAGGCTGAAAAAAAAGCCCAGCTTAGAAGTAGAAATTCCACTTGACCCAGCTCTTCCCCCTCTGGTAGCTTCCTGAAAGAGTGAAAGCTATCATTTCAGGAATATGCACGTGCCCATGTTTGAAGCAGCATAATGCATGATGGTTTGATTTTGGAAACAACCTCAGCAGATCAGGGGATAAGGAAGATGTAGCACTTACACTCGCTAGAGTACTCCTGTGCTACAAAGAAGAATAAGCTTGAGTCTTTGGTAGGAAAATGGATGCACCTTGGGACTGGAATGCTAAATGAAATCAATCTCATGCACACATGCTTAATCCAGCATGGTTTCTCTGATGAAAAACCTAGAATGTGAACAAAGCAGAACAGTAGATCGTGAAAAGCCAGAAGGTAGAGCTTTCTAAAAGGGGAAAGCGATCAAGAGATGGAGGGAGGAGAAGGGGGGTGAAGAAAGGAACTATGATGTGTTACATATGTGCAGCAAATCACGAGGAATATAAACATTACATATTTCCAACATGCACCAGAAAATAATAAAGAAGGGAGTCAATAGGTGGAAGGTGAGGCAGGAGGATCGCCCTAAGTTCGAGGCCAGCCTGGACTACACAGTGAGCTCAAGGAGAGCCTGAACTACAGAACAAGACCCAATCTCTAAAAACAAAACAAACCAAGTGTGGGGGCACAGATCTGTGACCACAGCACTCAGGAGGCTGAGGCAGGAAGATTGCTGTGAGTTTGAGGCCAGCTTGGGCTGCATAGTGAGCTCAAACATAGCTTCAACTGCAGAGCAGGACCTAGTCTCAAAAAACAAAATGGAGTAAAACAAAACAGAAGGATGGCTGGGGGATAGAAAATGAATTGAAATGTACAGCATCAAGCACACGTACCAATTCCCCACAAGGAATGAAAAATTACACACTGTAAACATGAACTGGTGATGAAAAGAAAAGGGAAAAAACCCAGAGAAACAATAAATTATCCGAGATATTACAGGGTGAGTGTCACCTACTGATGGGTTCCAGACCGGCAGGAGTTCAGAATTTCACATTCAGATTTTACAACCTCTGCAGTCTTTTCATGTCTGAGGATCCCTAATCTGAATATCTGAATCAGAATCTGAAAATTTCTGAGAGCCCTAAGTTTTAGGGGTGCTTAACCCATCAGGAGATCAGAGTTAAAGTCATTCTATTATGGCGGCACACGCACGCCCATGTCAATAGCAGCACAAATTTATAGTAGCTAATTCGTGGAGACAGCCTATATCCAGTGAAGTGAAGTTGGTATTTGTATACAGTGAAGTACTATTCTGTCATAAGGAAGGATAAACTTAAGGTTTTTGTGAGTAAAGGGAAGCAACTTGAGACCACAATACAGACCAATTAAGCTTCTGAAACATGAATCAGGCATCCAAGCTTAGCTATGGCATAGAGAAACTTAGCAAGGGATGGGGAGAGAGAAAGAGAGAGAGAGAGAGAGAGAGAGAGAGAGAGAGAGAGAGAGAGAGAGAGAGAGAGAGAGAGAGAGAGAGAGAGAGAGAGAGAGAGAGAGAGAGACAGAGAGAGAGAGAGACAGAGAGAGACAGAATATGAATTAGAAGATAGGAAGGAGGGAAATCTTTTTCAAATGGATGGAAGAATAAGAGATGGAAGAGTAGGAAGGGGATGCAAATAAAGCAAAGAATGGAAGGGGGTAGAGTGGTGAAAATAGAACTTTTCCAAAAGAGGAGATGATAGGAGTTGGAAGGTAGAGGGAGGGACAGAGGGGTAGGGGGTGAAAACAAAAATAGAGACAAAAAGAATTATGATGTGTTATGTACATGCACCAATTCTAGGCCATAATTATACTCATTATGTACTACAAACATGTACAAATGAAAAAAGTAAAATGGCTGAAAAATGGAAAAACACACAAACAACAACAACAGAAATGGCAGTGTCAGGAGTCCAGGTGCCCAGAACTATTGTCAGAGCTTGGAACCAGGAAGGGGGTGGAAGATGCAACCAGCTGCGGTGTCTCTGCATATGACCAGGCTCTGAGACGGCGTGCCCACAGCAGACGGCTCAAGGCAGCCCAGTGCTCTGGGGTGTGTCACTGTCACGTACTTGCTGCTCAGTTTGAATGAAAAGACTCTCCTTGCCCCTTCATGTGTGTGGTCATTTTAGATTCTGGTGTCCTTGGTCAACCATCGTCCAGGTGCAAGACCCCGTCCAGATTCAAAAAACCTTACTTTCTCAGACACTCTGGGGGAGTTTATCCAGGCAACGAACATCCGCCTGCGCTTTCTCCGAACCAACACCTTGCTCGGCCATTACACCTCCAATGACATGAAAGATCCAAGTGTCACTCGGCGGGTGAGTGGTGTTCTACAAGCGCCTCATTAGCAGAATTTGTCTTGTTCATTTTTGATTATCAATTAATTGCTTCGAACCCTTTTGAGTAACCTTTACAGCCATTCATGGTACAGGCATGAGCGTTTCTTCTTGTCTGAAATAGTAGGTGTAATTAGGAGTCTGGATGTTTGAAGAAAAATTACTGTATTCAAGGATGAAAGACAAAAGCTTATAGTCAGCCTGGTGTTTGCCTGCACAGCTCACTGCCACTGCCATCAACAGTCCCCACATTCCAGAGGCCTAGTAAAATAAAAGTTTGCTTATTTCTCATGTTACAGTCCAGGGTGGGTCAGTAGGGGAAACCAACAACATGTAGTTACTCAAGGGAGCAGGCTCTTCCTCTCCTGGAGGACCTCAGGTCTGTGGTTGTAGGAACAGAGAGCATAGCGAAGAGCTACTTGCTCCTGACCATAGCGGCCATCTCCTGAGGTGAGAAGTGGCTTGTATTATAGTCCATGGAAGTGTAGGAGGCTGAGTAATGTAACCCAGCTGACATGGAGGAGAAGGTAGATACCAGTGGGCTCTGACGCTCCCCCGCAGTGCTCAGGGCCCACCCTGAATGCTCTCACCCTCAGGTGTCAGGACAGCAGCTCCACCTCCTGGCCATAGGGGGCGCTGCAGGACAAGTCCCCAGCTGTCACTCTTCTCAAACCCTCTGATCCACTGAAGGTGTCTCTTGTTGGCCAACTCCAACAGGAAGCCAGGGAGTCAGAGAGCTCTGATTGTAGCCCAGGGAGTTCAGCTTCAGGACAAAAGGCAGGCCCATCCTGGAGGGGTGAATTGAAGATCCCCAATGTACCTTTTAGACTTGGTTTCTCATGCAAGCAATAGCAAAAAGCTGGGGAGAGAGTAGAAGGGGTTGCATTTTGTTTTGAGTATTTTGCAGAAAGGCCAGGTGTTTTGGGTACAGGTGATCTGTGTTCCTTATTTGCTGCCCTCTTGGTTCTCTCTGAACCACCATGTAGATGGGGATGGAGTTGGAGCCAAAGATAAATATTTATAAGAGAGAGTTGGGATTGCTGGTCAACTGCAGCTGCTTTCTAGCTTGCTGCTGCCCACCACCCCATACATTTCCTTTTTGAGTGTTACAAGATCTGTATCCTTGTCTACATTGTCTGCCTTTCCACTTAGGTGGCCATAGACCTTCCATTTAGGAGAGCGTCCCTTTTATAATCCTGAACCCTCCAACCTATGCTGCTTCTCTAACAGAAGGGGAGCACAGTGCCAGCTGTCCCATCATACAACCCTGTATGCTACTGACCCAGTGCTTCTGTCTCTGCCGAATCCTGAGCACACATGGAAAGAGAAACTTGTGTGGCTGTCAGCATAGCCTCTGGGTGTGAACTTGTCACCAAAAGCACTGGTGACCCTGGCTTTGTGCAGTGCTACCAGAAAGGGTGTTAATGGGTTGGAGACCATGCTAGGTGTGGCCAGGAAGCTTCAACACTTGAAAAGTGTTTAATTAGGGAACCCCAACCTCAAATGAATAGGGCCTCTTAAGATGATTACACTCAACAAGACAAATACAGAAACCCTCTTGTCCTTGTGAACTCAAAGACTTCCTGCTGACAGGCAAGCTCACCTGCAGCATGCCTCAATGGGAAGGATTGTTCCACACTACATTCCCCCCCACCATGTGCGTCTATGGCCAAGTCTGGGAAGGAGAGGGGCCAGCAGCAGGGACCACCTGTTGTTGCTCGTGGAGAGGCCTCCAACACACTGCAGAAGAGCCTTGGCATTGAGGTGGGTTGTGCATATTTGCATAGCCAAAAACTGGCTCCGGCTCCCCTTCTTGGAGCTTAAGCCCCTAACCTTGTCCTTTTGATCCTAAACTAGAAATTTTCAACAACTGCCAACAGGTGGTTGTTCATCTTTATAAATGTTCTTTTCCTTCTTGCAGCCTAGGATGATCGGTTATATGTAGTAGGGACACAGTTTTCAGTACAGATTTCTTTTTGTGGTACCAGGGATTGAACTCAGGCCCTTGCACTTGCCAGGCAAGCACTTATTCTACTGAGCTATCACCCCAGTCCCCGGGTATGATTCTTTCTGAGAGTAATTTTCCTCTGTGCATTTAAAGCAACTTTTTAGAAATGGACAATTTCAGAAGTTCTTTAAAGTAAGTTTGACTGAAGAGTGCATTTATTTTGTAAGACAGGCTTTACCTAAGGCTACTTGTTGTGTTGCATCCAGCAGGAGAATTGGTCCAAGAACACAGGATAGAAGAGAAGCCCAGTCAATGCTGATGTGGCTTAAAGATGGGTGAGAGATGATTGCCCTGCAGTTGAGTAACCCTGACCTGTCCTGCTTTTCGTTGTGTAGTACTTCTACAGCGTGAAGGGTATCACTGTCGGAGGCTGGTGCTTCTGCAATGGCCACGCGGAGGAGTGCAACGCAAACAATTCCCAGCAACGGTATGTGCGCTGCGTGAGTTTTCCACTCTTGTGATGAATCAATACAATTATTTCAGGGGATGTTTGCAGCTCATTAAATATTCCTAGTCTCCTGGCCTCAATAGGAATGCTTCAGGGTCAACAAAAGTGGTATGTGCACCTGTCTTCTCCTGTAGCCCTCCACTTCCTTTGGCAGATCCACAGTGGACCATGGCAGACATGACTAATCAATCACGGTACTCCATGGATGATATGGGATACAGCCACCACTCCTAACCAAAGCGGATGCCTCAGGCAGCCATTAATCATTTTTCTTTTACAATTTGATTTTGCATTTACTTGGTTGTGGGTTCTGCTATGTTTGATGTTTTCTCCCTGAAAATGGAATAGGCACAGATGATAAGAGCATGCCTTGTGTCTGACCCACCATGAACATATTCTCATGCAAACAAAATACCTTGAATGACCACCACTTAAAACAAGATGATCTAGTCAAGTGAATTTCAGCCCTGGTTAAGTTCTACCTGCACAAAGAAATCAACAATGAAAATCTGTTTTAAAATCATCTTTGTAAACATGGTGTTTGCAAATTTTTTTTTCAGTTTTGAAATTTCTACTTTTTTTCCATAATTTTATTGAGAAGCAAATAACAATGAGACAGTTTCAAATCAAATTGGTATGACAGTTTCAATAATTAACACATTGCATACATTCTTCCTAGTGGTTATTTGCTGTACAAGACACAGACATGATATCCTATTTACAAACACTATTACAACAAATACCTCTATTCATTAAGAGAATGTAACTATCTATCCTAACCATTTTGAATACACAGATACAAAATGGACATTCATCTGTATCCCCTTTTTGTTTAGTTCTGTCATTTGAATATTATAGGTGTGTTAACTCAGAAAAATATTCTAAAAGAGTCCAGTAGTCCATAATAGTATTGGGCATTCCACTTGACTGGCAATGTCAGAAATTGTTGACCTGAGTCCCCTCCAGATCAACAAAACACCATGGCTTTACTTCTTATACTTCGTTTTTGTACTTTTCTGCTGGATGATTGAGACCAAGATAAAGCAAGACCTATGCAACAAGAGTTGTAGTTTTTGGGTCTGATAAGGTCAGTGAAATCCCCTCAGGATTTATCTTGAGATCCTGTACCTCAGATTGTAGCTCCTTTGTCAGTGTCAGCCATGTGGATGCGTCATGGCCATTGCTTAGCCAATGTGCTCTCCGTGAAAGCCTGAGAGAATGTCCTCTCTCCATGTGACTCTCCTTAGGTACACTCTACATCATCAGTCACTTTCCTTTTTGGCCCCATAATCTTGATCAGAAAATTTGGGACACTACTGAGTTACATGATGTTATAGTACAAGTTCTCATATGTCTTGAGTCTTAATTGACCTTGGAAGGCTAGGGCCAAAATGTTGGCTTTCCTTGCAGCCCTCCTTTTTCTCTAACTTTGGTCTGCAAACTTAGGTTGTTAACCATCCAGAAGACAAGCTTATTGTTATTACCATACAACCTAGGCTGTTAAGCTTAACCTCACTATCTGTCTGAATATCAAACATCTTAGGCATAACATGGAACAGGTATTTTTCATCAAGTATTGATATGTTGAACTTTAAGTCCCTACAGAATATGATGAAAAAACATTTAAAAAGTTAAAATATATTTTTAAAATAGGTATAATTATATAATTCTTATGTTTACACATAAGTCCAGAAACCTCACCATATACAACCTTGAAGCAGGACAGTCCTACAACATTCCTTTTCCTGTCTCCTGCCTTCATTCACCACCCCCTTCTTTTTGAACAGTCATCTACCTGAGAGACAGCATGGCAGCAACTGGCATGTGCAAATGTTTGACTAATGCTTTTCTCCAGTTCAAATTGTACTCCAGTGAGCTAAAAGAATTAAGCAGGGAAGTAAAACTATTTAATTTAGATACTTTTGGGGAATGTTAAAAGTACCCATGTGCAAAGCACTTAATGAGGGGGTGATACCCAGAGTAAATATAGAGTAGTCATGAGTTTTGAATTTTTTTATATTAAAGTGAAAAAAGATGAAAACGATGGAGCCCAGTAGGACAGTTGCATAGTTGATATACTGCATATTGCCTTTGTGTAAAGAAGTTATGTAGATATCCTGAACACACAAGCCACACCCACCCAGAGTTTGATGGCATTGGTTCCTGAAGTCTGATAATGATTGGATTTCACTAGAATGAGGCTTCTGGGCAGACCAGGCAGAGCTCTGTTGTCATCTTTATGCTGTTCCTTTTCCTTTTCTGCTCTTCCTAGGCCACTGTACCTCTAATTTGGCTGTGTAGTCAGATGACTCACCAGTCAGCTTTTTCCACCTCATCGGCTTATGATGAAGGTCACTGTTCCTTCTCACGATGGGCCGATGTGTATAGGGCCAGTCCTAGAATTCAAGCCTCCTTTTGTGACTTACCTGATATGGCCAGACCAGCCATTAATAGTTGATTAAATTTGGGAAGACAAATAAAATGTATTTAATTATCCTGGGTTTAATGGGATGTGAGGGCTGTAGATTTTCAAATCCTTTTTGAGATGGTAGTAAAGAGTACCTCACCTAATTTTCCATTTTAACCAGTCTTAAGTAGTGTTGAGTACATTCACGAGTGTTGTAAAAGCAAACTCCAGAAGTCTTTGCATCTTGCAAAAGTGCAAGTCCATTCCAATTTAACAACTATCCATTCATACCTGCCAGGTTCCAGCCAGCACCGTGCCTCTTCTTGTTGATATTAATGTGATGGTGTGAGATACATCAGCGAAGTGGGAACCTCCAGTGTCTGCCTTTTGGTAGACAAGAGAGAGCTAAGTAGTGGTGCTGGAGTGGGCTGGCACACTGAGTCCCCATCCCCAACTGGCGTGGCTCACTTAGCACAGTGTCTACAAGATCCATCTGAGCAGATCAGTTTTCTCCCCTTCTATAGCTCAATAATATTTCATTATCTGTATAGGACCCCTTTTCTACCTTCATCCATCCATAGTTGGGCACCTGGGTTACTTCCATCTTTCAGCTACTGTGACTGGGAGCTTGAGTGTGGCCCTTTTTTATTTTTTAGCTCAAGTATACTTTGCAAAGAATGAGATGCATAGATCCCAAATGTCATGTGCTTAGAAACTGTGCATTTGTGTTACTAACCAAGGTGGACACTTGTAAGGGTGGAAATTACTGGATGCTACATATAGTAATAGTTTTCTTTCAAAATTTTACTTAGAGTCTAGAATAAGAGGCATTTACCACAGATGTAGTCAGACTCAGGTTTGTGCAGCTTTTGGCCAACTTTGTGTTCTGGCAGAGTAGCCATGGCCAGCTTGTATGGTGTGCTTTGTCCAGCTCCCCTTCTCCCTGATCAGCGACAGGCCCAAATGTTGCCACCCCTTCTTGGAAATTGGGGGGCGGCTCCCACTGACATGTAATCAGCAAGGGCTTGCTTGTTCTTGGCTGTTCTCCCTTCGCCATGAATCCTCCTGGTGGGTGGAGCTCTTGGATACTAAAGCATAAAACCCTGAGTTGGCGAAAGAGGAGAAACAAAATGGTTCTGTGTGGGACAAGAAGGGATGCCACTAGAGAGGGACTTGGCTTCCCCTTAGAAGGGGACCCTGTGGGCCATGGCAGACCTGGATGACTTTTGTCCTGGGTCTTTAAGGTCTCCCAGCACATGTGAGCAGTGTCCGCCTGGCCCCCTGTGCCTTGATGGGGCCTCAGTGTGCCAGCCCGCTCCAGCACCACTACTTAGCCCTCCCTTGTCTACTCGTCTTTTTCCAGTCCTGCACACTGACCTTGAACATGCTGGTGACATCTACACCCAGGAACAAGAAAAAGGCCTTACAGCATGCTTCAGGGGGCCCAATGACTCAGTGGAGGGAGCCAGGGCTGGATAATCCTTAATCTGCTAAGCAGGCAGAAGACCAAGCGTGTGTACCGTACTGACCTTGATGCGTGGAGAGACGATCAGACATTCAGTGCTGAGTTTCCCAGCTGCCAACCAAAAAGGGAAAGCTGCTTGGCTTTATTCTTGTTTTATTTTCTTTCACTAATCTTTATATTGCTTGTACAGATGAATGGATCTTGTTTTGGCACACTGTACCCACATATAACAGAGCTTGGGCATTTCCAGCTCCCCGTGTCCTCCCGCGCCCTCCCTCTCCATGTTAGTTTCACATGTTGGGCGGTTCAATGTGTATATTTGGCTGGTATCCATTCTCCCCATTGTCTGCCCTTTCCCCTCCCCTCCCTCTTCTTTCTTTCCTCTTGTCTAGGAATAATCTCACTCCTGCTTCCTTGTCACCTTTTTTAGATTTCACATACCAGGGAGCATGTGTAATTCTCTCTTTCTGATCTGACTTATTTTGCCCAACATGATAGCTTCCAGATCCTTCTATTTTCTTGACAGTAACAGTTTCATTCTTTCTCTGGTTGAATCATATGCCATTTTGTACATTCACTGCAGCTTCTTTATCCATTCATCTATTGAGTGTTATCTAGCCCAGTTCCATACCTTTGTTGTTGAGATTGAGCTACAGTGAATGTGGGCATGCAGGTGTCCCTGTAGAATGCTGACTTTTATTGCTTCAGATGTACACTTAGAGTCTAGAATAAGAGGCTAGAGCGGAGTAGTACAGCTGAACCAAGGGCTAAGTCTTCTGTTTGTTTCTTGAGGAACTTCATGCTGATTTCCACCAACGCTGTAATAGTTCACATTCCCACCAGCAGTGTAGAAAGTGCCATTGCCCTACATCTTCACCAGCAGTTACTGTTTTTCCTCTTCTTGATGACAGTCATTGGGACTAAGTAAGACACAATCTCAGTGGAGATTTTCTGGGGAGGGAGGTATCAAAAATCGAACTCAGGACCTTGTGCTTGCCAGGCAAGTGCTGTGTTAATGTAGTTTTTATATTTCACTTGCTTTTACATTTCACTATGATTAGAATCTAAAAACTAATAAGCTACTTGGGAGAAAGAGATTGTAGGCATTGGGACTAGATATGAATTTTCCCTGGGGATTGGGCAGAGAGAACATTATTGAAAAGTTTTCTCTACTGAATGATGTGTTTAACAGAACTGTTATAGCAGACACAAGGACAAATTTTCTAAATAACCTGTAGCCTGGACTGAAAGCAATGACTTCAGATTGACAATGAATCGGAAAGTTATTCAACTCTTTTTTCCTTTTTTTTTTTTTTTTTTTTTGCAGAACTGGGGATTGAACTGGGGGCCTTGCGCTTGCCAGGGAAGCGCTTATTCCACTGAGCCATCTCCCTGGCCCTCTTTTTTTCCTTTTTTGATGCTGTGTTAAATTTTGGTTTCTCCGTGAGGGTTGATGAACTGTCTTCTTTTGAAGCAACAATCCCTAAGGACTCACTCAGCCTGCATAGGCAGAGTATTTTGTTGGCAGTGAGCCGAAGGCCTCTCTGACAGAGGTCATTTGGACTCCAGCAGCTGTGTGCTGCCAGCTAAATTCTGTCCATGTCCTACAAGTGGCAGATGAGCAGGGAGGGAGCTGACACCTGCCCTTGGGAGTGTGACTGCCTGCATGCCAGTGTCACTGTCCTTGAAGGGGAGCTGAGGGAATCTCACTGGCCCTGACAGGAACTTTGTAAACAACTGTTTAGAATCCTCCTGCAGCACCGTTGAATGGAAAACTCAAAGCTTGGAGTTCTAACCCAATACCAAAGCTACAGCCGTATCATTTTAACGCAGACAAATCTTAAGACAAATGTGAGACTTTCAGATCTTTACACCCTAGCCTTGCCAAGTGAGCTCAGCTTTTGGCCCTGTGATAGAGCAGGGTGCCCTGAGACCCTTCTGGTAGCTGTGGCTTGGCTAGTAAATCTCTGTGCGCACTGTAGATTTAGAGTAGGGCAGGAGAAGCCTACTAAGGACTACTCCAGATACCACTAAAGCTGTGATCCTGAGTGCACCCAGGAACCTGAGAGCCACTGCTTGCTTGTTGCCTCAGCTCTTATAATATAATGTGGCAGAGAAGAAGAGTGGAGGCTGTAGTGTCAAACTTACGCTTGAACTCTGGTTCCCCATCCATCCCTGCTTGACTTCTGGCAAGTGTCTTATTACCTCTGCAGTTTAGTTTCACCATCAGTAAAACAGATAAGAAGCAGGAGAAGGGGGCTTGGAATGAAATACACAACATGCTTTGTTATCATGACCACTCCATGGATGTTGCATGGATGACCCTTAGAATGCACTCATGTGTCACTCCGGAACACAGGAACAGATCTTAACCAAAACTTTCTAATAACTGCAATGTACTTTGCTCACACACCCAGGTTCCGGTGTAAATGCCAGCACCACACCTGTGGGGATACATGCAATACCTGCTGTGCGGGGTTCAATCAGAAGCGCTGGCGACCTGCAACGATGCAGGAGAACAATGAGTGTGAAGGTGGGTGCTGGGGCAGGAGTGAGACCCTGGTATTGGCTTCTCTCCTCTTTACCTGAGAGTGATGCCGCATCTCTGCAAGCCTGTGAAGAGGCTGGAGCAGGTCAGCTTTATCACTCAGGTCTGATACTGCACTCCGTTATCCTTGGGGTAGGTTCGCAGGCCCCCTAGAACCAAGAGAGGTGCCCAATCTTGTATATGCCATATTTCCCCTATACATACTTAGCTCTCATAAAGTTGGATTTATAAATGAGACACAGTTAAAAAACAAAACAAGCACTCATAATAAAATAGAATTGTTACAACAATATACTGAAATAAATTTCCCAGCATCTCTATTCTTGTTCTTCAAGCCAGTATTTAGAGACTAGGAGTTACTAACTCCAAGGGAGTTACTACCCGCCTGGAGCCCCAGTTTTTCGCTTTGAGTTATAGGGATAATGTCGCTTACTTTTGAGAATTGCTGCACAGATTAAGTGTGATGATGTGTGTAAAACACTTTTCACTGTATATGAGGAGCTCAGTTATTGTTAGTAGAAATTATACAAGTGCTAGTAATAATCCTTGCACATAAAGTCTAACTGGCGTTCTGGTACATCTTAATTGGTTATAATTGCCTATCTTTCCAAAATAAAGGGAACTATTCTCATTTAATATCAAGGGGAAAGAATTGTAAGTTGCGTAATGTTCTCTACCTGTCTTCGTGTACAAGCCCCTAAAGTTCTTCTGTAAGGGAGTCCCTGGTATTCCAGAAAGGACTTTATTATAGCTCAATGAGCAGTAATTCCATCTGGGACTTGGCTGAGCATCTCATAGGAATGGTGGAGTGTTGATGCAGAATGCTTTTTTGCAGCCTGCAATTGCAATGGCCATGCCACAGACTGTTACTACGATCCAGATGTGGAATTCCACCGTCAGAGCACAAATCTCCAAGGCATCCGTGCAGGCGGAGGGGTCTGCATCAATTGTCAGGTGAGGCACAAGCCAAAGGAAAGTGGATGGGTCAGGACAGGACATCAGGAGCGTTCCGCAAGCCCTGCTCTCAAAGTGTTGGCAAGAGAATCGATGCAATTAAGTCTTTTCTGAGACCATTCCTCCACATTCAGCCACAAAAATCCTTATCAATTTAGGGATCGTAAGGCAAGTGGACAGAGGCATGATGATCTGAACACCTTTGAGTGTGTGTTCCATGCCAGTCTTTGCCTAAATAGCGAGGAGAGCTCCTGGCTACTATCCAGCTTGTGGGGGACAAACTCCAAGGAGGGAGGGACAAACCAGGACCTCAAATCCTGCTTTCAGGCAGATTCTGAGTCTAGGCACATTGAGGAAGTGCGTCATGATGGGTTAATGGTGACGCCTGCCACCGATACCAAGTGTGAAGCACTTGTTAGTCACTTGCAGGGCAGCTGGATCCCCTGGAATCCTAGCAAACTAGAAGGGAGCCTCTGCAGTTTGATTAACGATAAGGCTGGAGTAATCCAACACAATGAGATGTTGGCATAAAGTAACAGAATAGGGGTGGAGGATGGACCCACACTTCTGTGGGTATTTGATTTTTGGTAAAAGTACCAAAACAAATGACAAAGGGAAAGCTTTCAACAAATCTTCCTGGAAAAAACATGGATTTTCTGTGAAAAGGGGTACACTTTCACCCTTGCTCAAATTCTTAAAAATTGAATTGATATGAATCAGGAGTCACAAGTAATACTAAAACTGTAAAGCTTTAGAAAAAAATACAGAAAAATATCCTTTTGCTTCAGAGAATGAGGAAGCTTTCTTAGGCCATGTACAGCTGAATCCATAAAAAATGAACAATTAAGCTTCATTAAAATTAAAAAGATCTGCTCAGGAAAGATCATATTAAGAAAATGAAGGGGGAAACTGCATGCAGGAAGGAGATACTCAAAAACATAATCTGATGAATGATTGCATCCAAGATATAGAAAGAACTCTCAGACCTCAGTTGTAACAACAAAAATAACTCCATGGAGTATTCAAAAGATTTAAACAACCACTGCATAAAATTAGGTATGTAAATGGCCAACAAGAAATGCTTAATATCCTTACTCATCAGAGAAATGCACATTAAGATGGTGTGGTAGGGGGCTGGGGAGATAGCTCAGCAGTATAAGCGCCTGGCTGGCAAGTGCAAGGTCCCAAGTTCAATCCCTGGTACCTACAGAGTCACCAGGATGGCAGTTATTTAAAAAGGCTTTTTTCAGTTTTTTCTATATTGAATCCTTTGTCTGAAGGATAGCTAGCTAATTTTTTTTTCACACTCTGTGTGTTGTCTTTTTGTTCTGTTAGTGATTTCTTTTGTGATTCAAAAGCTTATTTATAGGATGAGATACCAGTGATTGATTCTTTGTAGTATTTACTGTGCAGGTAGGGTTCTGTTCATGGAGTCTTTTCCTAACTTCTGTCTTCAAGAGTTCTGCCTGTTCTCTATTCCAGCAGATTTAGAGTCGCTGTTTTAATATTTAGGTCTTCAGTCAACTTTTATGTTTGTTTAGTGCATGATGGTAAGCATGGGTCTAATTTTAGTCTTCGGCGTGTGGAAAGACAGTTCTTTCTTTCACTGAACATGTGACTCACTGTATAAATGTCATATTGTCTCCCCGGTGTGAGAAACTGAAAGAGTAAATAAGGCCCAAAGCGTAAAACAGATACTGTGAAATGGGAAGAAATTGTTCACAAGGAAAGAAGAGCTAGAGTGAAGAGATGGGTAAAGGAAGGAAAAGGGAAAGAGATTTTAAAAGGATAAAACGGAAACAAAACTTTGTATTTAGGGAGGGGAAGATGGGTTGAAGGAAGGAGAGGGGCTTGGAAGAAATAGAGAAACCAAAATATATCATGTACAGGTACCAACTCCCATGATTAATATGATCATTATGTATATCTCAAATGTACCAATATACTTAATTATATTTCAAAAAATAAATAGCTTTTTCCTAGATTTATCTTTTTATTTGACTTCTAAAAAGTTTTTTTTTAAAAAAAATTGATATCTGACTTAAACTTTCTTAAATAGATTTTTTTTTTGAAATGTAAGTGTCTTCAATAAAAGAGGTTCATGAACAGTCACAGACAAATTTTTTAAAAAGGCTAATTACACCAAATTTGAATGTGGGAAAATGCACGTAGGAGCACCACACCTACCATACTTGGTAGGTGTGAATATAAAAAGGTGTGACCCTTGGGGGACAGGATTGCATTACAATCCTAAACATACGCCTACCCCATGACTACTTTACTCTGAGGCACTTAACAACTTATGAAAATAGTCCCAACCTGGAAATAGCCCAGGCGCTGGCCAGGAGCTGGGTGGAGGAGCACACTCTGGTGTGCGCATGCAATGGAAAGCTAAGGAGTGGCAGAGAGGAGCAGACCACCGAAGTGTGCAGCACTGGCTGAGGGTCTTAGAAGCGCTGTGTCAAGTAAAGTGAGCATGCAGAGAACAACAGAGAAAGAGCATGCATTGTGCAAGAGCCATTTAAATGGAATTCTGAAATGCAACCCTAATCAATAGTGGAAAAACTCAATTGTGGTCGACTCTGAGGAGGTGGTGGTAGAGTTGACAGGGAAGGGACGTGGGGAAATTTCTTGTGTGATGGTGTTATTCTTTGCCCACATAAGGACTTGAGTCTCACCTCTGTATGCATTTGTCTTGACTTAGGGAATGTACAATTCAGAGCTCTGTGCTTATTGTATTTACATCCAAAGAACAAAAGCTGTGAACTCATACTGAACTCTAGTTAATTAAGTCATTGAGCTCCATGCTGAAGTAGTTAGGAGAAAGTGACTCTTTTCTCTAATTCATTTTGAAATGCACAGAAAATAAGATGGGCTAGTAGATGGATAGAGGAATGGATAGATAATACTGTTTGTTAAACAATAAAGTCAAATGTTAATGTAAACATTCTGTGGGTAGTGTGTAAGTGTTGACTTGTACAATTGGAAATTTATAAAAAGCACAGTGGTACTTTGGCTCACGAATGCTTTTGCATGGGAACAATTTGATTTGCAAACAAAAGTGCTTGGCAAAAATTTTTTTGTTTGTTTGTTTTCAAACTCTGTGCCAGCTGGTGAACACAGCTGAGGGCAGCTTCCCCACGTAAGCATGAACGTGGCCATCTCGTCCAGACTCAACTTAAGCTCATGAACCAAGGTGCCGCTGTAAGATGGTGACAGAAAGGAGCAGTGAGAAAAGGCCAATAGTGGGACATTTTATGTGATTCTTGATTTCTTTCTCTCCGGTGAACACTGATGTACTTTTTTTTTTTTTTTTTTTTATTTGAGAGAGAGAGAGAGAGAGAGAGAGAGAGAGAGAGAGAGAGTGTGGTGTGTGTGTGGCCAGCTCAGCCCACCAGGGGGCGTGGCCGGCTGGCATGTGGTGCTGGGGGATTGAACCGCGGTCCCTGATGCCTTGCCAAGCTTGTTCTAAGTAGGTGCTTTAGACCACTGAGCCATCTCTCCAGCCCCCTGATGTACTTTTTAAGACTGAAAATTATTCATATTGGTTGAGATGGTGCAGGAAGAGATTTTATTTCCACCAATGAATACAAAGTTTAGTCTCTTTCATAAAAACATGAGTTTTGATTAAAGTCTTAAACTTGCTCCCTAGTTGTTTTTTTAAAAATAATTTTATTGAGAAACAAATAGCAATGAAACAGTTTCAAAACCGATTACTAGGACAGTTTCAATAATTAATACATTGCATATTGTTGTCTTAGTGGTTATTCATTGTACAAGATACAGACATGATATCCTGTCCACAAACACTATTAGAACAAATCTTTCTATTCATTGAATTAAGGGAATGTAGCTGTATATCTATCCTAACTATTTTGAATATACAGATACAAAATGGTTGCTCATTTGTATCCCCTTTTTTGTTTAGTTTTGTCAGAGAAGGGTATTCTATTGCCATTTAAATATTATAGGTATGTGAATTCAGCAAAATATTCTAAAAGTGTCCAGTAGTCCATAATAGTAGTGGATTTTCCATAAGAGTGGCAATGTCATAAGTTGATGGCTAAAGCCTTTTACAGCTCAGCATATTAATATGGCTTTACTTTTTATACTTTGTTTTTATTCTTTTTTGCTGGATGATTAAGACCAAGATAAAGCAAGACCTATATAACAAGAAATGTAACTTTTGTTTCTGCCAAGGGCAGTCAAATACCCTTAGGATTTATCCTGAAACCCTGTACTGCAGTTTGTAGATCTTTTGTCAGTGTCAGCCATGTGGATGAGTCACGGCCATTGCTTGACCAGTTTGTTCTCTGTGAAGCCTGAGAGTATGTTTTCTCTCCATGTGACTCTCCTTAGGCACACTCTACATCATCGATCATTTTCCTCTGTAGCTCCATAATCTCCTTGATCAGAAAATTTTGGACACAACTGAGTTACATGATGTTACAGTACAGGTTCTCCTATGTCCTGAGTCTTCACTGACCTTGAGAGGTTAGGGTCAAATTGTTGGCTGTCCTTGCAGCCCTTCTTTTTCTCTAATTTTTGGTCTGCAAACTTAGGTTGTTAACCCTCCAGAGCTTATTGTTATTACCCTACAACATAGGCAGTTGAACTTGATCTCACTATCTGTCTGAATATCAAACTTCTTAGGCATAACATGGAACAAGTATTTTCAATCAAATATTGATATGTTAACCTTTAAGTCCCTACAAAATATGAAGAAACAAATTAAAAGTATAAAACAATATTTAAAAAAATAGGAATTAACAATTACATATTTTTACACAGAAGTTTAGAAATCTAACCCTATATAGCATTGTAGCAGGACAGTCTTGTGAAATTGTTTTTTTTCTTGCCTCTTGTTTTCATTTATTACCCTTTTTTTTAAACAAACATTTACTTGAGAGACAGTATGACAGTAATTGCTGTGTCATACAAGTTTGTTTATTTTTTTATTTTAAAGAGAATAAGAAATAATAAAACCCATTAACAACAACACAAAATTTCAAAAAACAAAATAGTAGGAATTCAACAATTGTTGCTATATTCCATATTGTTATCTTCAAATAGTTGTTCAGATTACTAGATATAGGGAGGTAAAATTGGTTAAAAAATTAAGCATCTCCTGTTCCTTTTAAGAAATCAATAGAAAGTAATAGCAACATTATTTTAGCTATTTTGTGTATATATGGATATATTTTTCCCTTCCCTCTTTCCTTCCAAATTGCCTGTCTCTGTCATACACATACACTATGTAAGCTAAGAGAACAGCATCCAGAAATGGGTAGAGCACAGTTGACCACATTCTCTCCTGCAACAAATCCTATCACTTGGCAGAAAAGACATTTTAGAAACACAATATGCCCTCCTTCTAGAACCCAGCCTGTGTAGGCAAGTGCAGGAACTGGGGTTCAATCCCCGGCACCACATGCCGTGCTGGCCCAGTGACCACTTAGACTGAGCATGGTGGCGCATGCCTGTAATCCCAGAGCTGGGGAGGCTAAAAACAGGAGGATCACTACAAGTCGGAACTGTGTAGTGAGACCCTGTATCAAATATGTTAAAAAACAAACAAACAAAACCAAACCCTCATGTGATATTGATATCACTTTTATTTCTTGGTTTTCTATTTTAACTACTTGTTTAGACAAAAGAAATTTAAACAGTGTGGACATTTCTGAGATATAACATTTGAGTAAGCACATGAAAGAAGTGAAGCAATGAGCCAGGCATTTCATGGTGGTGGCGGTGGTAGTGGACTCGGTATTTCAGGCCTAGGGACCTGTGAGGCCATGGGAGGGAGCCAGTGGTCCAGTGTGGCTGGAAGGGAGTTGGGTTGGATGAGTTCAGAAAGGCAGATCAGGTGGCTCCTTCTGCGTTAGTAAGGTAGCTTCACTATGGGACCTCCTGGGATAGAGTAGCCAGGGAACAGTCTATGCAAAAGCTTCCGTGTACTTGAGAGTCACAGAAATGAAATCCAGAAACAGAGTTATTGTCAAGGAGTTGAAAGACAGAGGTAGAAAGCTAGAAGGATTTGCCTAAAGATGGAACAACACCTCCGCTTGGGGTAATTCAGATCTAAGACTGATCTGCACAGGGCCTGGTTCTAGGTGAGCTTTCTGTAGACAGCTTTCTTTCTTTCTTTTCTTTCCTTTCTTTCTTTCTTTCTTTCTTTCTTTCTTTCTTTCTTTCTTTCTTTTTTTACAGTTTAATGTATTTTAATAGCAAACTTACAGGAACAGCACAGAAAGACAACATTAAAAACATGCACTAGCATGTAAGACAACTGAGTTAGAAAAGTATAGTGACTGGACGGAATCCAGTGTATGATAAAAATGCTACAAACACCATTTAGTTGCTGTCAATAAGAAATTTACTTGTTTTAAACAAATCCAAATGCCGGCATTTTCCAGAAAAATTTAGCAGATTTTTATTTATAATTGTTATAAAGTTGAAGTGCTGAAACTTGTTCACGGAAACATTTTTGACTTGCATTAATGCTTTACATCCTGCATGAAGATAAAAATTCACACACAAATGAAAAGGGAAAAACTGCCAATACGTGGTTTCTGTTCCCTATTTTCCACTCGCAATCATGTACTTAGGTACCTTTTGACCCCATGGGGGAAAAACAAAAAACAAAAACAAAAAACCTAACATTCAAAACTACCAATAACAGGAAGAAGAGGGGAAAAAAAAAATTGAGAATGAAATGTTTCCCGCCATAGTGGACTCCTAAGCATGTTCTGCACGTATGCGCTGTGCTAGTTGGATATCTTTTGGCATAACTGTTACCCGGTTGGCGTGGATGGCACCCAAGTTGGTATCTTCAAACAGGCCAACCAGATGGGCCCCACTTGCCTCCCGCACAGCACCGATAGCTGCGCTCTGGAAGCGCAGATCTGTTTTGAAGTCCTGAGCAATTTCTCGAACCAGACGCTGGAAAGGAAGTTTGCGAATCAAAAGTTCAGTGGGCTTCTGATAACGTCTAATTTCACGGAGTGCCGCAGTCCCAGGCCTGTAACGATGAGGTTTCTCACCCCCCCAGTAGAAGGCGCACTCTTACGATCGGCTTTTGTAGCCAGTTGTTTCCTGGGCGCTTTACCGCCGGTGGATTTACGGGCAGTCTGCTTGGTACGAGCCATGGTACTGGGACCTCCTTACCCCCTTCTTCTTTGGCTGGAGCTCGGCGAGCGAGAGGCGGCGCTGGCGTTAGACAGCGACGGCAGCTCGGCGGCCCGTAGACAGCTTTCTGGTGGGACAAAGGATGGGTTTTGTGGGTGGGCTTTTGCTCACAGCCTCCATCAGCACTCGCTGCACTCTTTAGCATGAAAATGCAACTTCAAGCACCCGCTCCTCTCATAAAGACTCCTCTCCAATATAGAGCTGCTAATATAGGACTTATGAAGTTATCCCTTTCCCTGGGTTTTGACCGTCTTGGTTCAACTAGGCCCATGTATAACTACTCATGAATAGCAGTGCATACAGCAGCGAATCTGACCCTCCATCCATGCAGGTCTGAGAGAACCACCCAAGAATTCAAGAAAACTCTAGGCGTCTGCAGAATAATTTGTTGTTTAATCTTGATTTTTCATTGCTATGAATTGTCTTAAAAATATAACTTCCTTGTGGCAGGTGCTTTGCTTTCTTTTTCAGAAGAGAAAGCTTGGACTGCCTACCTCAGAGAGCATTTTATATTTTCTAAGTGGAAAGAATTGACCTGCTGTCCTATATGCACTATAAGTCACAGTGGCAAGCAAAGGAGTGGAGGGTTAGTTGACATTTGGTGGAAGAAAGGGGGGTGATAGATGTTCCCTGTTTGCCCAAAATGTTTATGCGTGTGAACATTAAATCAGAGAAGTGACCTTTATGGTTTTTAACCTCAGTGCAAAACTGAATTTAGATTTTAGCCCGCAGGACAAGGAGTGGTAATAAATAGAAGTCTGCAGTTAATAAAATCTTCTAAGACAGGGGAGAGGACATAGAATGGGTCTTTGTTCTCTGCTTATGCAGACTTTTGTGTGGGTCAAAGTATGTTATTTTTGTTCTTGTTGATTTCCTATTGCCTTTCCTTTTAGGAAAGAAAGAACACTGTCTTCCTAATCATTTCCAAATTAGAGAGAAGCAGAGTCAAGCTAGAGCCATGGAGTATAGTTCTTGGAAACTGGTGGTGCATGTTGGGTAATTTGATTTTGTGGCAATTACAAGGATTAACCCCGAACCAGAAAAAGCTGCCTAGCATCATACTTTAAAATGAGCTCTGTGTCTGAGACTCATGCCTGATCTATTCACATAATAGAACTGTTCAGAAAAGCTATGCATAATGAAAACACTGCTAAAATTAGAATGGCTAGAGATGAAGGGCTGCATGTGCTATGTCTTCCAAAATTCAAGAAGATATAGATGCCCACATGACCTTTTTATTCGTTGGGTTAAACTAAAGTTGCTTTATTACTCTTTCATCACTTCTGAATGAAGCCTTGGGAACTAGTTCTTGAGTTTTTTATTACTCAAATGTCAAGTGCTTCATTAAAGTAAATTCTTTGGTGGAAGGAACAGCTTAAGGTGTCCAGTCCATGAATCTTTTTATCATTTCCTCTTTTCATGGTTTAAAAAAAATTTTTTTTAGCGCCAACTTTAAATCAGTATCCTGTGGTGTATCCTGGAGGGCCAGGTCAAGATCAACGCTTACGTTTTTAGCGACTTTGAAATTACAACTGGAGCTGTTAGAATTATATTTATCCGGGTGAATCACACAGAATAAAGAGCGTTGGATGTCTTCTCCAGTATCCTTCCTTCTGAGTTTTGTTTCTTTCTTTCTAGCACAACACGTCAGGTGTGAACTGCGAGAAGTGCGAGAAGGGCTTCTACCGCCCTCACGGGATTCCAGTTAGCGCCCCCGGCGCCTGCATCCGTAAGTTTCACGTCGCCTTTGTGCATCTGAGACTGCGCCGCTCCCAGCAGCCGTCAGGCCTACTACTGCCGCCTGGTGGACAATCTCCACATTCCCTCTTTATTCAGACTATTGGTCCCACTCCTCGCGAGGATTATGTAACTGGATTGAATGGAGCGCTATCAGAAACCCTTAGCAAGGTACTTAACATTGGTTTTCTCATACTAGGCTGCAGGAAGTATTAGTTCTCCCATATTCTCTTTTTATATGATTCTATGCTCCAGGAATTCCACTTCTGTCAGAAGTTGCATCAAAGCAGCATAGTATGGGTGCTCATGGATTAGTGATAGTCGTATTTAACATTGATGTGCTTCACTGAGCATTTGCCATATGCAAGCCATTGCCTAAATACTTACGTGGTGAGGTCTTATTAAATTATCACAAAAAATTGAGGACAATGTACTATTATTCTCATTTTTAGATGGAAGAAAACCAAGGGGTTTCAGTAGCTAACTACTTCAATCTGGGTGGCAAAACCACTAACTAGTAGATCCAGGATGTTATTTATTTCCATTAGCAGAACTGTGCTGTAATACAATCATTATACAGAAAAACGGCCCTTGTTCTCCACTCATGTGGAGCCATGAGTCTTCGGCCAGCTTGTACACGTTGCTGTACACATATAACCTATAGCAGTCATGGCGAACCTTGTAGAACTTTTACTGATACAGACAACCCGCTTGTGGCATGTGTGCCAGGGGTTCACCACCACGGGCCTGAAGGCTCCTCAGCAGTTCATTTTATGTTTTCTAGTTGTCACTCCTGCTTTGAAGTTGGACTCTTCCAACCCCCCAGTGAATACTTCCTACATTAACATTTGAGGACAGTAAAGCCCAAAGAATATGTAACATGATTTGCTTCTCTCTAGGGCATTTTTACTTGTTAAAAAGTCTTTCCACTGCCTTCTTTCTTTCTCATCACACTTGTCTTGTGCTCACTTGTCTTGTGCTCACAAAGGGTAGGCATCGCACAGGAAGACGGATGTTCCTAGTGTGACTGAGCCTGTTCAGACCTCCCCTCTCCACTGCCCTCCTAGTTCTGTTCATCTTCATTAAGTGGTCCTCGGATGCATCGAGACTTGCTATAAAAGCCCCACAGGACACATAAATGGTGAACAAATGATAAAGAAGCCACCAGGAGATGCGCAGTCTCCCAGGTCCCCTCAGGAGATGGACTATTTGGACCATGGCAGTATTTTCCCTGCTGGGGTCACATACTGCCACGTCTGGTGAAGCCCCCATGTGGGGTTTCTAAGACTTTCACACTCCAGCCACATTTCTGTGAAGTGTAGACCTGACAGTCATGTTTGGTTGCAAGCACTGCCTTCAGAAAGCTGCACCCTTCAAATCTGACCTGTGGCTTGTTAGGCCCTCTATGGACTGTCTACCACTTCTAGGCATCTTGTACTTGTGTCATGGCAGGTCCTAATGGCCTCTCTGTGGACTTGCATGGTTAGCTGTGTCCAGAGACAGCATGCTGACCAGACCCACCAGCAGCCACAGCCCAGCTCACATACCCAGCCCTCTACTGCAGTCTGTGTCTGAGTAGTTTCCTTCAGGTCCAGGGAACTGATTAGTGCTCAGTGTAATTGGTGACATTCTTGAGGTGGCCAAGAGAGGGTGCATGTGAAAGTTGCTCCCCATGCCCCCTAAGGCTCAGTCACCAAGAAGCAACAATCAAGGGAGAAGTGGAAAACTGTGTGTTGGGCGGGGAAGCTGGGGACCACTGATCACGGGGGAAGCATTGTGGGGAAGTACTGGGACATTGCTGCTCGGTATGGGGCAGCAAAGGGCCAGTCCTTGGAAACTTTTATTCCTTTAGCTTGTTGGTGTGACCCTGTGCATGCGGATGGCTGTGAACAGGGCTCAGGCCGCTGTCTCTGTAAGCCCAATTTCCAAGGAGACCACTGTGACGAGTGTGCGGTTGGATACTCCAACTTCCCGCTTTGTTCTAGTAAGTACCTGCTCCCTAATGGGAGGCCACGCCTTCTGCTGTTCTGGCCTCTATGTTAGCACCTGAGGAGATGGCGGAGATGCAGGGGGCAGATGTGGGGCCCACAGGGAGGTGGCAGTTACACGAATGTTCCCAATACTTTGGAATGCAAGTGTTACAGAAGTATATTTTAGTCTTATTTATCCCTAGGTTGTTATGTTGGGCTATAGACACTGCACCTCAGTAGGTTAAGGGTCAACTGTTGGCTATTTCAACTTAATAGTAATCCATGTGTGACTTTTCTTAACAGACCCAGAAGAAATGCTAGCTTCCAGTTCCAGATCTCTCTCTCTGTCTCTCTCTGTCTCTCTCTCTCTGTCTCTCTCTCTCTCTCTCTGTCTCTCTGTCTCTGTCTCTGTCTCTGTCTCTGTCTCTGTCTCTGTCTCTCTCTTACCAGGAATCAAACTCAGGACCTTGCACTTGCCAGGCAGGCACTATGCCACTGAGCTAGACCCCAGGCCCTAGATGTTGGTATACATATTGCATATTTGGTGACCAGGAGGGTCCATTTCTTTCTTCCTGCTGGACAATAGGTCAAGCTGTCCAGCGCCATCTCCACCCACTGCAGTACCTGATGGAAATTCTATAGCCTAAGAAGCAGCTAAGCAAAATGGGGCAAGAGGTGGGTTCTTATTCTTCTGCAATGGTAAAAGCTGTACTTTTGGGTTAAGACAAAGACATTTGGTCTTAAGAGGAGGCCCTCTTCCCCACCGCTGCAGGAGCTGGGTAACCCATCCACACCCGGCCTCACAGCCCCTGTAGATGCGTCCCAGGGAGGGTATAGTGAGTGGTGGAAACATAGGGCGGGGCTCTTGGGAACGGGGTGACGCTGTGCTCCAGTTAATACCTGCTGGCCTGGGATAATTATTAAAATAGCACCCACAGGCCAGGCGAAGTAGCTCATGCCTGTAATTCCAGCACTCTGGAGGCTGAAGGAGGAGGACTGAAAGTTCAAGACCAGGATGGGCCACTTAGTCACTAAGAGAGACCCTGTGTCAAAAAAAAAAAAAAAAAAAAAAAAAAAAATGCTGGGGATGTAGTTCAGTGTGAGTGAAGGATCTGGGTTCAATCTCAAGCAAAACCAACCAATCAACCAAAAAAATACAAATGTCCACTCTCACTGTGGAGATTGTCCTAGTTCAGGTAGTAAACATATTTAAAGGAACCAATGTCCGAAGCCCAACTACAATGAGATCACATTAGGACTTGACTAACTTCATATGTGAGATTATTGGATCGCCACTGAGCACACACTGCTCTTGCCTTTTTAGTAGAAAGGAGAAGAAAACCCAAGTCAGTCTTATAGCATAAACAAAATTTACGAGAAAAATATGTGGAAGAAAGAGTTTTTAAAAAGCTAGACTTGAGTTTCACTTTTAAAACCAACAGAGCTGCTGACAGAGCCAAGCTCGTCCCTGCTGAGGCTGAGACTTGGCTATTGTGAGCGCCAAATCCTCCCTGCCCATCAGCCCTCAGTCAGAACAGCCAACCCATCTGGTGCCAATCGGCAGACGGGGCAAGAGAGCAATGTGGCCTTCCTTGGCGTGGTCCCTACATGCCCCCTTCGCCAGGCGAGACCGCCTTCCTTGTGCTTAACCAAGCACCATGTGTTCCTTTAATCCCCTTAATCGTCCTCTGTGCTTTTTTATGTTTAGGTTAATTTCATTGGTACACTTTTGATATACATAAGGATCACGTTGAATCACAGGGAATTCGCACCTGTATGTGATATATCATAATTCTTCCTTTCCCTGCTTCACCTCCCCTCGCTTCAACCCTTCTTCTTTAGACAAACTTTGTTTCCATTTCCTTCTATTCGTTTTTCCCTCCTCCACCATGTTCCCTTTCCCATGTGAATATTTTCTCTCTTTTTAAAAATAAACTATTTTGTAGGAATTCCAGGCTTTCTTCTTTCTACTCCAAGACCAGAAGATCCAAAACCTGGAAAACCCAAAAAAGGCAAGTAGCCGCCCTTTTGATTGAATGTCAATGAAAATGTTACATTCCTCTTTCTTTCTGCTTCCTGTATGAGTTTGCCAAGCCCCAGCTCAAGTCCTCTTCCCTAGAGCTTGGCAGGGGCCTTGCAGATGCCCCTAACTGGCTGGCTCCCCACCCAAGTTCTCTACTCCAGCCTGCACCCTCCGGTGGGACTCTCTGAATAGGGAACCTGAGCAGGGCATGGGTTATGAGTTGCTAATGTGATGGTGTCCTGCGTTTGTTCTTTAACTTACAAATGTTTGAGTCCGGATGACAGCACGCCTCTCTCTGGTTTTCTTCTACAAGAACGCTCTCATCTCCCATTTTCCCTGTGTTTACAGTAATCCTATTATTATCCAATTTCATCCTCTCTACTAGACTGGTGGTAACTTCAGGAAAAGAAACACAATTGAGATTGGAGGGAGGGGGCCCGGGGAGATGGCTCAGCAGGATAAGCGCTTGCCTGGCAAATGCAAGGATCGTTAGGGAGGCTGTAAAAGAAATCTCAACTAGGGCAGTTAGATCTGTTGGCAGATTTGAAGGCCAAACCATCCACTGAAAGTGGGTCTGTTAGTGCATCTTAAGACCACCCACTTTGAGACCTAAGTCCTGGCAGTGAACATCAGAAGCACACATTTGTAAACTGCCAGGGGGTATTCAGCCCTGGATAATACTAAACATTGTGCCATCCTCAAGAATTCCAATTCTTTAAGGCCTATGGATTCCAGGCCCTGAACTATGGACAGGGGCATGTTTTAAAACACTGGTTTTTTTTTTTTTTTTCAAAATATAAATTCCTGGGCTGGTAAGATGGCTCAGTGGTCTAAAGCACCTATTTAGAACAAGCTTAGCAAAGCACAGGGACCACGGTTCAATCCCCCAGTACCACATGCCAGCCAGCCCCGCCCCCTGGTGGGCTGAGCTGGCCCCCCCCCCACACACATAAATAAATAAATATAATTTTAAAAATTCCCAACATTAAATAAAAATAAACATTAGAAAAACATATAAATTCCTGTCTACTACCTGAAATTTTTTTTCCAGTGCTGGGGATTGAATTCAGGACCTTGTGCTTACCAGGCAGGCACTTATGCCGCTGAGCTTTATCCCCAGCCTCTCACCTGAGATCTTAATTTAGATTTCCAGGGGAAGCTTAGGCTTGTATCTTTAGCAAGTTTTCCAGATAATCCTGATACATGTTTCTTGTATAGAACCACAGGTGGAGATAGTAGAAATTCCCCTTCAGTGGTTGGCAGACCTTCCATGAGGAATCAGATAGAAAGATTTTGCACATTTAGGGACCTTGTGTCACACGTCTTCATGTGTAGTATTGGTTCCAACTACAGGCTGTATAGGAACCAGTATGTGTGGCTGTGCACCTGTGAAACATTTACTGTAACAGGGACAAATTTGCCTTCAGGCCATAGCTTGCAGATTCTAGGATTGCACTGGAAGCTGGGTGTGGGGCTGATCCTGTACCAGACGGTGGTATTTCATTAGCTCTTGTGTGAGGCCAAGATTGAGACCATATTTCTAGAAAATTGGCCTCCCATGGATTCTGTATCTGCAGACCAAGTAGCTGTGGATAGAAAATAGTTCTTAAAAAGTGTCTATACTAGACTTGTACAGAATGTATTTCTTTGTTCCCTATGTGACACATTATAACTACTACATGTTCTGAACTGCTTCACTTCAGAGCTCTTTTTTTGGTCAAATTTAGTGAATGCCCAGTTGAAGTATGAACAGATTGGAGATCAGGCTAAGATTGTAAAGTTGCTCTGGATTTCCCTTGTATTCTCTATTACTACATTAGAAAAACTAATTCTACAATTTTGTTACTAACCTTTTTTCTAAAAAGGGTAAAGGCTTAGGGCAGAAGGGAAGAGGATGAATTTAGCTACCTTTTCGCATCATGTGATATTTTAGCCTTTGTAAAAAAAGTCTTTCTACCTCCCTGTCTTGTAAGCAGGGTGAAGCCTGTCAAATCTTTGAACCTTTCAAGATTTTGCTGAGAGGAACATTTTCCATAATTAGAAACAGAAATTCTTTCCATATGAGATTGGTCAGAATATAGAAATATA